TGAGGTGTCGTAAAACGCTTTAGACTTTGATTTTACGTCACTATCTCGTGTTTACTTTTTTCGTAGCCATAGACAGTAGACATGTACATCTTAGAATTATAAATCACTTTTTAGTTTTAGTTTCTAAGAAGAAATTGGCAAAATTTTAATGCTTTTTGCGAGAGCCTTGGAACCTTTAGATCAATGTGGGTTAAAAGCAAACTAAATGATCTAATGATGTAATGAAAGCTAAATGATGCATAATGCTAAAGCTATAAAGAATGTGCAAACAGAAACAGGATCTATCCAAATCAGAGCTGGAAACATTTAAATTAGCGAAATGAGCTTAACTCAGTCCAGTCAGGGTAAATCCGAAGTTTTAACTAATTCCGTTTATCTCTTAGTTCTATTCTCTATGCTAGCAGCATTTTAGTTTGAGGGCGAGGGTTAAACCAATTATCCGGGATTAAATTGCACTTTGCAGTAAACATACGTTTTTAAAGTATATTGGAATTCTTATAGAGCTTATATCATGCTGTACAAAGGACTTTGTTAAATTAAGGTACAGGGTGTCCCAGTAAAAGTAATTCACAATGTTTACATGTAAAAACTATGTTAGCTAGTAGATGTGTGTCTTTCTATGAGACTATTGAAGCAAGTTCTAAGCTTTGCATTAGATTACTTTCTAATTTATGCAAAAATGACCTTAACGCAGTTCTTGGCGGAAATTTATTTTCCATTGCAAATGATTGTTCTGTAAATAATTCGGATATTAGTAAAATGTTAGTTAAGAAACAAATGAAATATTTTGAGGTCCCATTGGAACATGCATGGAAAATTCCGGGTTTACAAGAACTTTTAAATCATAGACTGATTTTTTGTTCTCTTATAAAGTGACAGCTGTGAAAATGGTAACGCCCATTGCCAGTGTGCTTTAATTTCGCGCCAATTTCTGTATTCCCAATTTGCAAAACAAAACAAAACAAAACAAAAAAGCTGTATCAATAACATATTGTATTATGTGGTTTTAAATCTGGTTGTGCCATAAACAACCAGAAATAAAACCAAGGGGAATTACAGAGTAAAGAATATAATTTTATTAAACAATAATAATAACAATAACCTTATGTATGAACAACGCGCGCAATAAAGTGCAATTTGCAACGTGCGCCTGTAGCCTCAAAACTAATCCCTTTTGCATTATTGCAAAAGTACTCGCATTATTAAGATTGTTCTAGGAACCAATACACCTTCCATATACTAGTTTTTAAGGATTAGTTGCCAAAAACAGCTGAACGGCCCTTTTGTTCCAGTTACGGTCATTGGTCAATAAATATATATAGAAATAGGCTAGGAATTGTTACATCTCACTGTCAGGAATTTGGAAAGCTTGAAACTAGAGTTTCATTGGAGACAGGCAACAGTTATTTTTACTGATTTCCATAGACATTTCAAATTAGACAGAAGGAGAAGGTTAAATTTATGCATTACAGGTACGACCTTGTGACCTTGTATTTTTTTAAGCATTTAATTATTTAGATATTAATAACTCAAAACATCTTTGTTCTTCTTAATAGTTCTTCCCTTTTGTTCTACCTTCGATCATTATTGTTTTATTCTTTACAATACAACTATTCCTGAGCTGTTTAGGTACATACGTCATTATACCCCCGTCCACCCGTCCTTATTTCTACTTTTATTGGATAGGTATAGACATGGAACCAAACGTGAAAACGGTCAGGAGTAAATTAGCGTGCAAACTGAGCTTGGCTTAAAGGGACAGTAAAGGAAAAATGAAAGGGGGTATAGGTTAAAAGCTAATCTCTTTAGCTCTTGATCGCGACCCATGAAAGTTTTCTCTGATGTTCCTGTCTCGAGAAATTGATATAAAACTGTGTTAAAATTATATGAAAATTCATATATGTAAAATTTAGAAAATCTTAAACTTAAATCACGTGACCAGAACTTTCACCAATGGCAGAGCAGTATACTGATCACGTGTCTCTGCCTGTATCACGTGACCACTGTACTGCACTGTCATTGGTGAGTTTTCTGGTGAAGTAATTCGGACGTGTAAATAATATTATGAATTAAATCTATTAAAAATAGAAATAACAAATATAAAATTAGAATTGGAGTAAACCTAAGTAATAATTAGCTTTCTCGGGGATATTATCGTTTTCAGATTGGTTGCATATTTGCTGAATTTGATCTATTTAAACCCACTACTTTTATACAAAATTGTATATATATTAATTTTCGTATAAATTTGACACAGTTGTAAATAAATTTCTTGAGACAGGAACATCAGATATAACTTTCATGGGTCGCGATCGAGAGCTAAAGTGATTAGCTTTCAGTCTATACCCCCTTTCATTTTTCCTTTACTGTCCCTTTAAGCCATATTCAGCAATCATATCCTAGTATTGCAGGTTGATCCATTTTGTACAGTCGTGAAAAGAACTACAACTATAATTTTTTATTTTCAACACATAAACGATAAATCAATCGCTGAGAAAATGATAAATTTAAAGAAATGTCTTTAACTCTACATGTAGTTTACTTAAAATCATTAGTTTTAGCTGGGCGCTCCCCATAGAGAATAGAATATATAGAGAGGAATTTACTGGAAAAAAGTGTAAAACGGCCATTTTGTTGTACTGTTTCCATACTGCTGAGCCTGAAATTTAAAAGAGTATCGTTGAACGAAACTTCCGAGTTTCCTTTTTGGGGTCTTATTATTTGTGTAGATTTTGATTTAAGAGATTTGATAAAAATGGTAAGATATAAAGGATTAAATAAAATAATATTTCAAAACAAAAATATCGATATCTACAAAACTGGGTAAACCCATTTCTGAAACCCGGGTTCCAAAACTGGTTTTCATAAGGATACCCTGTTTTAAGTTTTGGGCTCAGGTGTACTTCACATATTTATGCTATATAACCTGTTGGGCCCTGGAATATCATTATATAGAAAATCTAAAATTATTGTTAAAAGAAAACCAAATTATGAAATTATGGTTTCATAATTGACCAATGATCATTTCACATAGACTCTATGCCTTCCACTTTACAAACGATGATTTTCCGTTATAACTATAAATCAAATGATGTTTTTATTCACCTAATTCATTACAAAGTTTATTTAACAGTTTAAAAAATTTGAAATTGAAATGGATAGTCTAGGAACATACTGTATTAATGTACTCTACTGCATATAATTTGTGAACATTATATGATTTGTACACTTTGAACTCCCTTTCAGGCTGAAAGGGACTGAAAAAATTCATACCGAGAGATTCTTTTAATTCCTCTCTAATACATATTCTATTCTCTATGGCGCTCCCCCTCCTCCCTCCTCTATTCTCCTTCCTCTCTTCACCCTCCTCTTAATTCTTCCTCACTTCTCCATCCCTTCTCACACCTTCTTCCTCCATCCTCTCTCCTCTGTTCTCTCTCATCCCTTCTTCTTACATATCCTTATTTTTTTTAATCCGTCAGGTGACCTGAAGCGTGGGCATATTTGTTTTAATTTATTTTAATAACTAAAAAATAATGTTTATTTATCATGAATTTGTAATTGTATTGTTGGAGATAAAATAAACCTAAGAGTTTATGAGCACCAAGCAGTTTGAGAACCTTGAGGGCAAATACAGGCCAAATATACGCTTCAACCCTTGCAGAGTAATTAACTGTAAACAAGGCTAATATACTCTATAATAATTGTAAATTACAGGGCGTCCCAGATCATTTTAGATTATTTCTTAGTTTTAACGCCAAAATACGCATTTTATACTCGAAATACCTAGTATTTTCTGCATGCAGATTTTTATAATATGCTTTTACAATATTTTGAATGATTCAATCTTTGTAAATTTTCTTATTAGCCCCGGAATTCACGATTAAACAATCCAATATGGGACACACTGTAACTGCAAGAACTTGAACAAATATTCTACATAAACAACTGATAAGCATCAGGATGGTTTTATTTATTTTAGTTAACTATTAACCTCAAAAACTATGATTAACATGTTAACCCTGAACAATTTGATTGTTAATCGCGAAATACTTTTGTAATATACTTCACTTCAAACTAAAATAGATTGCACGAAAGATCTTTCATGTTTTCGATCAGAACTCCTCTTAATGAAGATCTACAGTGATGAACAAAAATGTTTAAAATGTTTAATATGTGGCTGGAGCTGAAAACTTTAGAATGGTGGATATCAGGATTAATGCTTAATCCACTCTTTTTCTTAATCTCCAGATTAAATATTGCTTGTAAACCTCATGAATTTAATCTCCTGATTAATTAACAGATCGGGATTAAGGATATCACATTCTAAAGTTTTCAGCTCAGATAAATTATCTTTTATCATACTTATTCTTGAAATAGTATTATTTCGGTAACAAAGTTGAACCATTAATGTCGAGTAAATTTGACATTCTCCTTGTGACTTGATCGATGTTAACCGACCTGCTTTACAGAAATATCAAATAGAAATACAGCACTGCCAAAAAGTAATTAAAATACTGTCTGTTATTAATTTGGCAAAATTTCCTTTTTTTATATAAACATTTTGATGATTAACTGTTTTTTCTTGTTAACTGCATGGGTTTCTTTATAAGATTGAAGCAAACTTTAACTTTTCAAACTTACTTTGCACTAAACGAAAAATTAGGAACAGTTTTTTTACATTCACCTATGACGCATTAAAACAGCTCAGTAGTTTTTAATTCCTAAAATGAACACAGATTGAAGATAAAATTCTTGTGTAGGGTAGGATTGGTTTCATTGAAGCTTCAAGTTGAATATCCATTTTTTCTTTTAATACTGTTACCCCTTTCATTTAACTTCAGTATTTCCAAGTTAAGGTCAAATAAGATTATATATAAATCATAATCGATTATAATCAACTAGTGAGCAAAGTTTTTGTCATTAAGATAATTAACTACTATGCAGATAATTGTTTTTTTTTTTAAATCTGAATAGGCATTAGTATCAAAACAAAGAAATGCGCAACAACCTCTCATTTTATTAAACAAAACAATAACAATAACATAACGCTAATTTAATGCTTAATTAAACGTTCTCTTCACTGCATTAACACCTCTCTCCCGCTGTGTAGCTGATATGCGCAGTATGCACCACTGCAGAATATATTGAGCCCACGTTGCCATGAGTCGTCTTCGTATCTTTGACCAGAATGTCGGGATTCACTGTGATCGTAGTCATGATAGTAGTCGTAACTAGGGTAATACTGCTGGTCGTTGTAGTCTCTGTTCTGATAATCTGAAATTTAGATAACTTAAAGGGACTGCAGAAGTAATTTCAAGTGATTGATTTTCTACTTCTAAAAATGGCACTTCCAATTCACAATCATACCAGCTTAATAAACCTTTGTCTAATGTAAGGTCGATGGTATATCCTTCCTCAGATCAAGGTTTGAAGTGTTTTGAAATGACTCTTTAAATACTTAAATATTAACCTTACACTTTACAGTCCCTCTAAGAAAATAAAAGTATATTGTAAACACATAAAAGAGTTAATTCCTCTCTATACTAATCTATTCTTTTTGGTTATAGACGCATAAAGTACAGTGTTAACTATTAATATCATCAATTATATAATAGCTGCTAACGATATATTACAGTATTAACGGCGTTAGGGGCAAACAAAATTCATTAACGGTTATATTACAGTATTAACGACGTTAACGGCGAAAAAAATTGTTAACGGTTTATAAACACAGAAGACGACATTTAAAAACATCAAAACGCGTTAAATTTTTAAACTTATAAAAAAGTTTCAAGCAATTTTAATCAGAAAATAACGAAATTTACAGTTTTTTGCTTTTTACTATTTCAGTTAACGTTTTTAACCTTTAATTTTTTTCTTCAAAAATGGCTAATCCGTTTCGTTAACTTTTAAAAAATTAACAGCTTTTGCCGTTCGTTAACGGACTCTTCCGTAAATTTTCGAAAACCTTAGTTTCGTTAACGGAACTTTGCCCAGCCCTAAACATGTGATTAATAATTAAACATTGGAATAGTTCTATTGAAAGGTTTTTAGTTTGTCCTTTAAGTCTCATTTTTTGTGGGTAACCCTGTATATGTTTAAAAAGAATGATTTTATTTCCATTTCTTACACATCTCTTTGCATGAAGTAAATGCATTTCAGTCAATATGATTTTTGTCCTATTATTTTAACATTTAAATCTATAAAATCATTCATATTCCGTCTAATCCCACTTTACTTCAAATGAATGTTTAAAGCAAGAGTTTACAACCCATCCTACAGTTAGGGCTGTGTAAACCGTCTCATTATACGAACGGCAAAAACGTTAATTTAATACCGTTAACGAACGAAATGAACCGTTTTAGAAGAATAATACTTTTTAAGTAAAGGCAAACATCGTTAATTTTAATGGTTCAAATTGCATGAATGAAAATATGTGAAGATGGGTTCTAATGTTGACTTGAGTATTTTTTTAATTCAACCCCCAAAACGGAAAGAGGTACAACTTTCTTTAACGAACTGAGAAACCGTTAACGGTTAAGGCAGATTTGGCAAATCTTCCGTTAACGGCGCACAAATAGAATTGGATAGGGAACTACAATTTCATCACAAACTGAAAAAAGTTATAATCTTAAAGGTAGTATTCTCAAAAAATGAAAGGGAGTATATATAGGCTGATATCGAATTGAATTTGATATCGATGGCTACTAATTCTACTTTTATCTGTTGCGCCTATAATAAGGAGAAAATGGTTGAACGATTTACAATCTGAGTGGAAATACTCTGTAAATTTGTTTGGATCCTACGCTCTTCAGTATAAAATGTGTTTAAACTCTTTCTCCTTGTACACGCAATTTAGATAAAAGTAAAATCAGTAGTGATCAATATCGAATTCAATCCGCCTATACCCCTTTAATTTTTCGCGAACACTCCCCCTAAAACGACTAACTGTTTCATTTATTATCCAACGAGCGAATTGAAAACGAAAGATTTGAACGTTCCCTGCCCTAACTGCAGGATGCAATTGCAATATGCAAATATAGAAACAAGGTTAACAGAGTTTAGCGAGCAAGTGCACTTAGAAATATTTATATCAGGTTGTTAAAATTATAACACGTTGACGTGGTATTATTAAATGGTGAACTGCAGAAAACGTGCTGTGTACATAAAACTTGATAACCCCGGCCTGGGATGTCCCAAAAAAGTGTCCATGCCCATGTTCATGAACTCTTATATGATCAATCGATTTGTTCAAGTTTGTGTCTAAAAACTTTAACATTTTGAACATCTGAGGCTGAATTTAGAAAATATGAACCTCGTCTTTAGACGCAGTTTAAACATAAGACACGGTTCAGCTGGAAGTTTTAATAAGTGTTCGAATTTTGAGCCGGCGCTCAATTGGAACCGGTAATTTACTGTTTAGTGACGCGGTTCAAATTCTTTAAATTCGGCTTCTGGATAGAGTTTCAAGTAATTTTTACAGGGCTTTGCATTTTTTAGCATTATATGTCCTCAAGAAATTAACTTGTTCAGAATTAATGTTTCTTTTTGTATTGATCAACTTTTAATGTTTTTAAGTGACCTGTGTTCATTTTATCATTTTATTGGAACCTTCTTTAAAGTAAAGAATCCCGAATATGGTCATTTTTAGGCTGCATTTTGATGCATCCTGTTTAGTGTTTCAGTTGAATTGTTGGTGCATCTTCTTGAGAGTATTTAGTTCATTATTATTACCTAGATCGAAGGCATAAACAGAAGAATCTGGCATGAGAGGGGTGTTAAATACTCCGCCTGTAAATATTCAACATTTTTTATAAAATCATGGCATTTACGGCCTCAAATATAAAAATCAGAAACCAAAAATGTCCATAAATCAACTTTTTGATTTTAAAGTATACTTCTAGATGTTTGGAGGATATTTTTAAGTTCAAAGATATTGTCAACGTAATTCCAAGTAATCTTTTTTAAAAAAAGTGCCATCATTAATTCACAAAGCCTAGATTTGGTCGGCTCAGGTTATGAGCCGGAAAAGGCCTCAATATTGCTCCTAATAAAATTATTGAACTAATTATTAAACGTAAAATTTCGTTGACAGTCTCTTTAAAAAGCGAATGTTTTGCAACAACGCTGCATTAATTTTGTTAACACTGCACACTTCTGGAAGCATGAATGCCAATAAAGCTAGATATACGAACAATAAACAAACTTAGATATGTTCATTTAACCTACTATATATATTTAACTAGTTTGTCTTCATGAAATTCCACAAATTTCTTTTAAAAATCCATTTAAATGAAGGTTTTGAAACTAGGTCTGTGCATGGACGATTTCTGATATGTTTAATGTCTATACAGAGACGATTTCGGATATGTTTAATGTCTATACAGAGACGATTTCTGATATGTTTAATGTCTATACAGTAATGATGTCTGTACTCTGTATGTCTATTCAGCGATGATGCCTATATGCTATGCATAAATTATGTCTGGATGTCTAATGTCTATGCAGAGATGATGTATGTATGTCTAATGCCTATGTAATGATGATGTCTTTAGTTCTAATGTCTATGCAGAGATGATGTCTGTATGTCTAATGTCTATGCAGTAATGGTGTCTGTATGTATAATGTCTCTGCAGAGATTATGTCTGTATGTCTAATGTCTATGTTGTGATTATATCTGTATGTCTAATGTCTACGCAGTAATGGTGTCTGTATGTATAATGTCTCTGCAGAGATGATGTCTGTATGTCTAATGTCTATGTAGTGATGATGTCTGTGTGTCTAATGTCTATGTAATGATGATGTCTGTGTGTCTAATGTCTATGTAGTGACGATATCAGCAAACACATATAATGTCTTCATGTAGTGATGATGTCGTTATATCGATTGTCCATTCAGTTACAATGAATGTATGTCTATAATGGCTCTGCAGAGATTATGTCTGTATGTCTAATTTCTATGTTGTGATTATGTCTGTATGTCTAATGTCTACGCAGTAATGGTGTCTTTATGTATAATGTCTCTGCAGAGATTATGTCTGTATGTTTAATGTCTATGTTGTGATTATGTCTGAATGTCTAATGTCTATGCAGAGATGATTTTCTGTATGTCTAATGTCTACGCAGAGATTATGTCTGTATGTCTAATGTCTATGCAGTGGAAATGTCTGATATGTCTAATGTCTGTGCACTGATGATGTCTGATACGTCTGAATGTAAGAATATATAGTCCACGATTCAATTGAGAATTGAGCACGGTTTGTATGTTGTCTGAATATATTTATATTTATATCTCGGATTCACTTAAACTCAGCTACAAAGCGTTTATTTCCAGGTATAAAGGGGTATTAACTCATCTCAAGGTTTAGTAAAGATATAAACCCCACCCCCCCACATCCAGTGCACACATTTTAATTTGACACACTTCCCGTCCCCGCCCTCCAGTCCTCAAACATGCCGCTCTGTCTTACGGGGAAAAAGTTGTTGCTTTATACGAAAAATAACGATGGATAATTTATCATTACAACAGTTTATGGCATTGGTTTAACAAGGTGTCTGATTTTGTTTGAATTTGCTACTGTTGACATATAGGAAGGATAAAGGGACGGAAAACCCGCCAATTTATTGCTAAACCCTTTTCTAACAGAGTGTTCGACACATCGATCTGTCTTTGGTCATATTTGCTAAGTCTAGCTTAGGGTTTCTTCTTACAGTTTTACGTTTGTGCCAGTCTTATATCACATCTCCCCCCATGACTAAAAATAAATTTAAAATAAAATATTTATTTTAATTATAACAGTTAATTTTTATTTTTTCAACCTGTAGTTAATAGAAGAACTTTTTACATTTTATGTCGTCGTATTTAATAGTTTAAAAAGAACTAATTCTGAAAACGGATCCAACCCCAAAGTAGGAGACGAATTTGCGCTCAAACAAAGGATTTAGAGATCTTTAAAAAGTTTAGTATGTCTCAAATGAATCCGAAAGAAGTTTTCCACAACACTGCGTACTCAGTTCAACTACCTTACACAGCCGGTCACTCCCTTTAAATACTTTTTTTTCTGCTCGGCCATTCATCTTTTTTTTTCTCTCTGGGCCGTCCCAAAAGGGACTAAAAGCGTAATTTCAAGTGACCCTCAATGCAAAGATGACAATACCCAATTCACAACGATGCCGATAAAAGCTTTGTCTGATCAATTATGAATTAGGTATCCATGTTTTAGTTTATTTTAAGTGTTTCTTTTCATTTGCGGATTTTCTGTAAAAGTGACCGGAGCATTTCTTACTTTTAAGAATTGCAATTCGAAAAATGATCAGAAACACTTTTCTCAAGTCAGGAAAACGATATTATCTTCCACATTTTTATTCTGATTTAGGTTTCAAGCGTACCGTTGTGAATCGGGCATTGCCATCTTTGCATGGAGGAAAACTTAAAATTTCTCTTATATAGTCCATTTAACTTTCTGATCCCCAATCAAGAATCATGACAAGATTTAACTGTTAAAACTAGAAAATCATCTTGAAATAAATATACCTAATTACCTCAAACCTGAAATTATTTCCAGCTCTAACCAATCATTAATGTCGTGTTTTACGAACACTTAAACACATTGTAAAAAGATGAAGCAAACGCATCAATATATTAATTTTAATATATATAATATATTAATATTAATCATTAAAGTTTTGATTATTTTATCATCATGTGTTGTGCTCTAATATCAGGAAATAACATCAAAAATTAAAAAGCGTAAACTTTACGCAGACAACAACTAACTAATGTTTGGTTTCACACAAAAACTAAAACCACAAAACCTTAAGGAAAAAAACAGTTTTTTCATAAATCGTATTTTATTGGTTGTGGTGCATTTACATAATACATGTTGATATCTTTATAAGTATAATAAAATTTGATTAAGATGACTGGAATGGCGGGTTCTTACCAGGTGAGAGTAGGGGGAATCAACTGGCTTATTTCCAATAATGTCGAAAACATACTTTTGTAATAATTACTTCAACAATTGCTGGGACATAATCTTCAAAAGAATTGAGATTTTGCCACAAACTCTGAGTTTCTAATCCCCATATCTTTGCAACCCGATGTTGTAGCGGTAGACCTTTGATATTATTAACTATAAATGGTGTAAAATCAAATAAATAGTAGTTTGAAATCACATTTAGTCTAAGTTTGAAATATCAAAGGTTTACACCATCAGGTTGCAAAAGTATAAGGATTAGAAAATTGGAGTTTGTGGCAAAAACTTCTTTATAAGTTACTAGCTGAAGTGCCCGGCCTTGCCCGTGGAATTTTAAACACATTGTAAACAAAATTTTGAATTTTGAAATAAATGGTTTCCTTAAAAAATTCAGTCAATTTGGTTCCACCGTTTGGTCACCTAAAGCTAACCTATATATGAGGCTATGAGCGAAGAGCTTGTCTATATAGAATACAGTGCTTAAAGGGAACGAAACCACTGAAAGTTAAAAGTTTAAAAGTTGTTGACCCCTAGTCGTTGGGTTGGATTATCTCCATCCTATTTGATAATAGTTAACACTTCACACTTCATTAATCAGATAGCTTTAGTTTTACTTTACCATTTATNCCCCGTAGATTACAACTAGTTGCGCCTTAAAGTAAGGTTCATGTTTGGCAGTAAGAAACTTACCGTTGTTGATGGGTATTATTTATATGTGAATTTTCTTTTTTATCGCGTGATATTATAATTTTAGAAGAAAATCCGGGAACCAGTCAAAACTTTATAGCACACGTGCTATAATGTACAGCTAATTTAACTTTATAGTACGATTATTACTTTATAGCACGTTCATAATAGAATTCACCATGAAGTGAGTAAGAATGATAAAGTACACAATAGTTTCTTAAAATTACCTATAACACTATTATTTTGGCACGACGACTTAAGATCTGCACAAAATTTAATCTTAAAAGGCTCGAACCTTTCTCGATAATGAGAAAATTTCTGCTTAAAAACTTCATAACACTGCGAACCAAAATAATAATGTTATAAATAGTTGATTTCAGACAGTTCAATGAAGATTAAGATCTAAACTTTTACTTAATTTTGCTGAAAATCTTAATTTCTCTGAAAGCGTCCTGAACCCTTTTCGCGCTTCATGTCCCAATACACCCCACCCCCCTTCTCCTATCTCTCAGCAAGATTACCCAAGAAGGGGGAGGGGGGGGGGGTTAAAACTTATATATGTGTCCATTATAGTTTTTAAAGTTTTGCAAAAAAAAAGTACCTTTTTATTCTATTCCAAAACATCTGGTCGTGGGGGAAAAATACCCATTTTGTATGCAGTAGTTTTTAAACTTGTTGTTTTTAATTTTAAATTCTTTTTCTTAATCTTTTCCTCAATAAAACTCAAACCAATTTCTGACAAGTTCCCTGTATAAGTATATTTTGCACAACTCTACCGTTTACACTTTATCCTTCATAATGATGCTAATTTCTATCTACTTATCTACCTACTTACCAATCCATATATTATATCTATATATCTATCTACCTATCTACTTATATACCTATTTACCAATCCATATATTATATCTATATACCTATCTGCCTATCTACTTATCTACCTACTTACCAATTTATATATCTTATCTATATACCTATCTGCCTATCTACTTATCTACCTATTTACCAATCCATGTATTTTATCTATTTACCTATCTGCCTATCTACTTATCTACATATTTACCAATCCATATATTTTATCTATATACGTATCTGCCTATCTACTTATCTACCTATTTACAAATTCTATTTTATCTATATACCTGTCTGCCTATCTACTTATCTACCTATTTACCAATCCATATATTATATCTATATACCTATCTGCCTATCTAACTTATCTACCTATTTACCAATCCATATATCTTATCTATATACCTATCTGCTATCTATTTATTTACCTATTTACCAATCCATATATCTTATCTATTTGCCTATCTACTTATATATACCTATGTTTCGCTACTTAGCGATTTCCCTAAAGACCTAATATATGTACCGTGTGGTATTTCTCAGGATTGGATCGTAAGACTCCCTTCTCTCAACGCTCTTCATAATAAAAAGGAAGACAGTAAGGTTCCGAACGTTTATTTCTCTGAGCCTTCAATCTAAACAAGTTTAATAAACCCACAGAAAAAGCTTTGAGTGAAAATCATACAAATATAACAAATAATCCACTCAGGCATTAAAAAACTGTGGTTAGGAACCAATAAACGAATACATAATCATCAATCATACTAGAATCAACCAATAAATATAAAATAATTACCACGGTGATCCCAGAATTCTGAACACGGAAAATACTTGCAAAACGAATAAACATATACTGAATATAAATATAACTATAACTCCGCTAGAAATCTTGCGTCTGCGCAGTCGGACTGTAAACAGTTCCTAAACCAGTTTCTTCACAATACATTCCGTACAGATCTTCAGGAGAAACTCAGAAATACGCAGGGGCGACAAACAGACTTTCTTCACGCAGCATGGCTCGCGTAACAACCTATTTACCATTCCATATATTTTATTTATATAACTATCTGCCTATCTACTTATCTACCTACTTACCAATCCATATATTATATCTATATACCTATTTGCCTATCTACTTATCTACTTATTTACCAATCCATATATTTTATCTATATACCTATCTGCCTATCTACTTATCTATCTATTTACCAATCCATATATTTTATCTATATACCTATTTGCCTATCTACTTATCTACTTATTTACCAATCCATATATTTTATCTATATACCTATCTGCCTATCTACTTATCTAACTATTTACCAATCCATATATTTTATCTATATGTCTATCTGCCTTACACTTACTTTACCTTTACACCTAACTACCTATCCACCTACCTACCTTTCCACCCACCTACTTTCCACCTACCTACCTTTCCACTCAACTACCTATCTACCTATCCACCTATCTACCTTTCCACCTATCTACCTTTCCACCCAGTTACCTTTCCACCTATCTACCGTTCCATCTATCTACCTATACACCTACCTACCTTTCTACCTATCAACCTTTCGACCTATCTACCTATCCACCTATCCACCTACCTACCTTTCCACTCAACTACCTTTCCACCTATCTACCTTTCCACCTATCTACCTTTCGACCTATCTACCTTTCCACCTATCTACCTTTCCATCTATCTACCTTTCCATCTTCTAACCTTTCCAACTATCTATATTTCCATCTACCAACCTTTCCACCTATCTACCTTTCCATTTATCTACCTTTCCACTTATCTACCTTTCCGCCTATATACCTATCTATATCTGCCTATCTATCTATATATCTGTCCTATATAATTATCTAACTATAACTATTTATAATAGTTTTTAAATCTTGCAATGACAATGATAGAAAAGATATAATGTTGAGTTGCTGAATGACTTGTGAATAATTCACTTATGTAATCATGATAAGACAATTATAAAACAAAATCTCTATTTCTGGCAATTGGAATCACAATAATCGTTGTAATAGTTTGGTTTTTAATTTTCTGCTTTTCATAATTTAAATATAGTGTCCTTAAAAGGAGTGTTCGCTAAAAATTAAAGGTGGTATGGACTGATTGATCGCTACTAATTTTACTTCTATCTGTTTCATCTATTCGGATAAAATGAAGAAAAAACGTCTTACACTCAAGAGCGTAGCGTCCAAATAAATTCACAGAGTTGCAATATTTCACTCAGATTGTAAATTATTCAACAAAATTTAAAATTAACCATTTAGATATTACAACCTATAAATGTCCAATGTAGCGAATTCAATTCGGTCAGTCTATGACCTTCTTCATTTTTCGCGAACACTCCCTTTAATAACAAACCAAATGTTCCCAAGCTTTGGAAATGAAATGTAGATTTAGATAATTATTTAGGTTTATAAATTGTAATTATGAAATATTTGTAGATATGCAGTTATCATGAGTCATGTATACATTATTCAGAGAGTATGCATAAATTAAGAGTTTTTATGATCTTAAATTGTTTTCATCAAATAGATTGTCAAGTTCAATAATTGGCAACGTAGAATTTGTACTCTCTCAGTACAGCTGTATTCTTACGTCACAAGTGTCAACTCAGTGTTTGTGTCCAACAAAATTATTAATAATAGTGATAATTTTAGACTGAGTGCTTATCCTACTGTGAAATAATTTGTTTTCTAGTTATATTTGTCACTTGTGACGTCATGTATAATTGGTCCATTTTTCTATTGCCACCTATTGTACTTGATAATCTATTTGGTTTTCATGAACATAAATCGTTCAAACGGCTATGACTCAGTTATTTGATATTCAGATGAACCCCAAATTCTTTTAGTTGAGAAAATGTGTCGGTAAAAATATTTTTTTTTAAGATTAAAATTTTTAGTAGTTTTATGCTTTAGTTTTTTTTTAAATCATTTAACGTTGAATTATTTTCCTATTCCGACCGTGAGGGGCTGACACATCACAATTCTGCTGCAAAATTATTATTTATTAATTTGTTAACAAATCGAAACTCGAATTTTCTAATCTTTTTATCTTTGCAACCAGACGTTGTAGACCTTTGTTATGTAAAACGATAAAACATTTCTGAAGAAAATGTCCAAGTTTAGAATATTAAAGGTTTGAAAGTATGGGATGAATTGGAAAGAATAAATTTTAAGCGAGAGTATATCAAAATAAGCTCCTTTGTAAAATTATTTAATTCTATAATTGAAAATAACTGGGAAGAGAAGGGAATCTAGGAGGGGGGGGGGGGGGGGGGAGGGTATCAAATAAACATATATAAACAAGAAAGAAAAATGGATTCAGAGAGAGATTCGTCTTAAACTCAGTTTGTTTGCCCAAAATTTTAAATTAACAACGAAAAATAACAGAAACAAAAATGATACCATGCAATTTTGTCAAGAACAGGAGAAGCTGATAAGCCTATTCGACTATATTTATGCTCATACAAATTTTAAAAGTTAAAAATAATTGAAACTAATGACTGTTTTTAATAATAATTTCACTCTCTTGGTTTCCTGAGTTTAATGAGAAAAAGCAGAAAAGGGAACAGTTTCATATTTTGTCTCTCCTTGGTCTGGTGGAATCTGCTCCTGTTGTTTAGGATACCCTGAGTAAACTATATATCTCAACCCGTCCTTCATTCTTCTCCGTCATCTAAACCTTCAATTCATACCAGACCCCGAAGTCATGGATATCTGAACCTGAACCCTACCAGCTCTGAACCAAACTTGTATCTGGTGTGCCACTATATCTGAAGTTATATAAACCACCTAATGTCTTATATCTAGATATGTGAATACGGATAATATTATATAAAATCACGTGTATCAAGTATTATAGAGGAAGGAAGGAAAGGAACTGAATGTTTTCTATCACTGTCATGTCAAGCTTCAGATATCTTCAATGTCAAGCAGAGACATTTAATTTAATCCAAAACTTTTTTAAGTCGCTCTTCCGGATTAAAAAGGGTGATATGTCTGTTTTCAAAGTACACATTTTAGGAATGAGTTTGCAAATTTTTCATAAGGATCTTATTTTCTAGAATGAATGTATTAAAAGAAACTTGTTCTCAGCAGTTGTTTCAATCTCAGCACAGTACTCAGTATTAGATCCATTTAAAGAGACTGTCGATATAATTTCAAGTGATCCTCTATTTAAAAAAAATATCATGCCAGATTCACAACAGTGCCTCTTAAACCTGTGTCAACAATTATGCGAAAGATTTCGTCGTTTTCTAGTTTCAAAAGTGTTTATTTCAGACAACTTCCTTCATTGTTTCTGCAAGCAGAAATTTTCAAGTTAATGTTCTTCTTCTAGGGATTAGTTGGAAAGATATAAGAAAGTATAAGATAGCGGGGAATCCTTTGTGTTTTATCCTTTGTGTTTTATCCTATGTGAGTAACCCTTAAAAGTCATTCCGGATGCCCTCATAAAAACCTTTTAGCTCTCCTATCATTATGTTCATGAGTCTAAAAGTGTTCTTAGATACTATCAAAGATATATGAGAAATGAACAAAGTTTTTAATAAATCGAACGGCCTTTGGTAATTTTTGATATATCAAACACAACGATAGTGGTTCTTTGAACAGTGGATGGTTTAGGGATAAGCCAGGCTAGGCCTTGTAACAATGCAATCACATCTATCCAAAAGCTACAAGCTCTCGCGAAAAACGATGATAAATTTCTCAGTTACTGCTTAAAAGCTAATGCTTTTTAGTTTTAAAACGTTCATATCTAAGGCTACAATAACGTAGTTAGTGAATAAGAGAGGAAAAATCAAAGTGTTGCCAATATTTAAGTAGACCCTGTCTTGAAAATTGATGAAATTTTTCATGGCAGTCTGGATCTATGTGAACACTTTAAAAAAACTCTGTTGCAAAATATTATTACCAATTATTATTTTATTAATCCTGACAGTTACCGTGTGCTAAGGGGTAAGAAAACAGTATTGTCATGAATTGCATAAATTAAGATTTATGAAATAATAAACCTTTCTTACACTAGGCATGTTTACATTCAACAGCTTGCATTCTGATTGATGAAAGGAGAAAAATTTGCTGAACTTTTCTTTAATTACAAAACTGAAACTGCAATGTTTGCGGTTATAATTATCTAAAACATTGAGGATAAAAGATCACAGAGTTGGCCCCTAGATATTTCCTGTATATGAAGAACTACTGTATTCATCTTAGTTTTAATATAATTACAATCTTATTTCCCACTAACCTTACTTTTCTAGCTCCTTTATTTTTTTTCCAAATTTAGAATCTGACTTTATTCTAATTCTAATTCTAATTCTAATTCTTATGTATGCAAAATGTTTCCGAAAATTGAAGAAATATGTTTTTTCCATTTTATTGATTGTTTGATCCAATGTATAACTAAAAATATCAAAACTGTACTACATTAAGTAGTAAATATATACAGTAATAATCAGAAATCAATGGAATAGAAAGACGACATTTTAGCAATGCTTAAGCGTCTTGATGTTGTTACAAAGCAAATATTTTTACTAGTAACTTAAAGCAAAGCACTATTTAAGTGAAATGGGTCTATTTACAATGCACAATTGCTATGTCTATGTCCGGTTGTGTAAACCTTTGATATTTCAAATTTAAATTATTTTATCAAAAAAAATGTACATAGTTTGAACTACCAAAGGTCTACGACAAAAGGTCACAAAGATAAAGGGATTACAAAATCAGAATTTGTGGCAAAAACTCAGTTCCTTTTGAGATTGTAGCGAGTAATCACTATTCATGTTCTTTCAGCATTAGAAAAAAAACGCAAAAAATTAATCCACGAAGTCCAACAATTTTAATGATTTTTAAGCAATTCTCGGAGTTAAATCTTCAATTGACAAATTTACATTAATTGTACAGGGTTACACACAAAGGACGAGACTTAAATGACGTCCTTAAAGAGACTGTAAAGGAAAAATTAAAGGGGTTATAGGATGAAACCTGAGAATCTCAGGTTTGCTCCTGTAATAATAATTTTGTTCTGGTGACGTAATACGGACTATAGTATTATCAATTATATGTATTCAAAATGCAAAATCAAAATTAAAAAATCATAATTCGGAGCAAACCTAAGATTCTCAGGCTCCTGTGGAATGTAATCGTTTTCAGATTGGTTTCGTATTTGTTGAGTGTGATCAGTTTAATACTACAATTTTTATACAAAATTGCATATATATGAATTTTCGTATAAATTTGACACAGTTTTATATCAATTTCTCGAGACAGGAACATCAGATAGAAGTCTAAATATATCATTCAACGCCTGAGATTCTCACTCAGGTTTCATCCTATACCCCCTTTCATTTTCCTTTACAGTCCCTTTAACCTGTTTCTAAAAAGATCTAGATTAGATATAGTTTCAGTCTTAAATATAGTTTTGTAAAGAAAAAAGTGTAAAACTGAAGTAAAGAAAAGAACGTATAAGTTGTCTCTCAAGTCTCATCTATATAATCCGTGTAAACAACACAATTCTTTAATTTTTAATTCTTTATGCATAAATAGAATAGTGCAGACGCAGTACGAGGTTTTAAGGAAAAGGACGACAAAAAAATGTTCCCGTGAGTTTTCAGAATTGGTCATTAACAGCTAATTGAAATTGAAATTGGTCATAACATAATAATCTCATCCTAAAATCTCGAAAAAACGGGTTTAATTAAAGAACCCCTAGGAAAGAGCCATTTTTTTAACTATGAAATAAGAAATGAGGAATTTTGTTTTTAAAATTTTTGCAATTTAAATTTTACCCCCTTTAAGAAAATGTCTAAACGTACCCCCTTGCACAAAAGTTTTAAGATGCACAGCTTGCAGTTTTGAAAACAGTAATAAATTATTAAACAAACTTAGTTTTATTAGACGATAAATTAGGAACGTTGGGCATAAAAAAAATGGAAGAGATAGAATCAGGATGGGCAGAGAGATAGAATCAGGATGGATGGAGGGATAGAATCAGGATGGGGGGAGAGATAGAATTAGAATAGGCAAAGAGATAGAATCAGAATAGGCAAAGAGATAGAATCAGAATAGGCAAAGAGATAGAATCAGAATAGGCAAAGAGATAGAATTAGAATAGGCAAACAGATAGAATCAGAATAATAGGCAAAGAGATAAAATCAGAATAGGCAACGAGATAGAATCAGAATAGGCAAAGAGATAGAATCAGAATAGGCAAAGAGATAGAATCAGAATAGGCAAAGAGATAGAATAAGAATAGTCAAAGAGATAGAATCAGAATAGGCAAAGAGATTGAATCAGGATGGGCGGAGGAATAGAATTAGGATGGGCGGAGAGATAGATTCAAGATAGGCGGAGAGATAGAATCAGGATGGAAGGAGGGATAGAATCAGGATGGATGGAGAGATAGAATCAGGATGGGTGGAGAGATAAAATCAGGATGGATGGAGGAATAGAATCAGGATGGGAGGAGAGATAGAATCAGGATGGGTGGAGGGATAGAATCAGGATGGGCGGAGGGATAGAATCATGGATGGGAGGAGAGATAGAATCAGGATGGGGGGAGGGATAGAATCAGGATGGATGGAGGGATAGAATCAGGATGGGAGGAGAGATAGAATCAGGATGGGAGGAGGGATATAATCAGGATGGGAGGAGGGATAGAATCAGGATGGGTGGAGGGATAGAATCAGGATGGGGGGAGGGATAGAATCAGGATGGGAGGAGGGATAGAATCAGGATGGGTGGAGAGATAGAATCATGATGGGTGTAGAGATAGAATCAGGATGGGAGGAGAGATAGAATCAGGATGGGCGGAGGGATAGAATCAGGATGGGGAGAGAGATAGAATCAGGATGGGTGGAGGAATAGAATCAGGATGGGGGGAGAGATAGAATCAGGATGGGGGGAAGAGATAGAATCAGGATGGGTGGAGGGATAGAATCAGGATGGGTGTAGAGATAGAATCAGGATGGGTGGAGGTATAGAATCAGGATGGGTGTAGAGATAAATTCAGGATGGATGGAGGTATGGAATCAGGATGGGTGGAGAGATAGAATCAGGATGTGTGGAGGTATAGAATCAGGATGGGGGGAGAGATAGAATCAGGATGGGTGGAGAGATAGATTCAGGATGGGTGGAGGAATAAAATCAGGAAGAGAGGAGAGATAGAATCAGGATGGGTGGAGGGATAGAATCAGGATGGGCGGAGGGATAGAATCAGGATGGGAGGAGAGATAGAATCAGGATGGGCGGAGGGATAGAATCAGGATGGGGGGAGAGATAGAATCAGGATGGGTGGAGAGATAGAATCAGAATGGGAGGAGAGATAGAATCAGGATGGGTGGAGGGATGCTCTTGATTATACACAGAGCAAAGATGGATGAAAATCGTAGAAAAAAAAACTTAAATAATATATTTAAACATTTAAACTATTTAGATATTTAAAGGTTTTAACTATAACTGCAGTCTGTTTTTTTAAGAAGGGAAAACTATAAACCAAGGTGCAAAATTTCATATGTAAAACCTGAAAATAATCCGAATTACAAATCATGAATCATGAATTGTTCAACCCCTTTACCTGGGCTTTAAAGAAAGGGGGGAGTTGTTGGTTATTCTATTATTTATTTTAATTTATTCTTACGGAGTGAAGGATACGGTTAGAATCCCCCCTTTTTCCAAATTTTCCTCTATCCAAATTTTTACGGTTAAATTAATATAAAGTTGTTACAAGGAGTTAATTAATAATTTGGTTGCTAAAAAGATCTGACACTTAGATTGATAAGAAAATAGAAATTACGCAGATAGAATCGTGTTTGTGTTTATAAGAGGTTTTTTA